CTCTCCATGATTTCTTACTGGATTTTCTAAAGGGAAGCAGCATGGTGGAGATAGGAGCAAGGTCCCTGTACCCTAATAGTTGCTGTGTATTTTGTAAGTAAATGTTTTCATGTAGTTGTAGATTATCCAGTACTGGACTATCCTGTGGTTCTGTCTTTTCTACTCACGGGAATCATTATGAGTCAAGATGAATTAACTATATGCTCTATTCTATTGAAGTAGGACATTTCAAGAGTCTAAAGTTTGAAGTTTGATGAAGCCATATCTGAGATGTTCTTTTATTTATTTACTATTAGAAAAAGCAAAGGCAAATGGGGATTGCTTATTCATTTGAATTCCAGAGACTATATCTTAAAGCAGTAATTCTCCAAGTGTGGTGGCCAGACCAGCAGCATCAGCATCACCTGGGAATTTGTCAGAAGCTCTGAGGGTGGCCCAGAGATCAGGAGTTTAAAAAGCTTCCCTCCAGGAAATTCTGATGCATACTAAAGTTTAAGAACCACTGTTTTAAAGCGTACTTTTTTTTAAATAGCATTTAATTGCCTTGAAGTAATTGCTTTACATCTGATTTCTTCACAAACCTTCTGAAGTTTAGGCATCACCACACAAGTTTGAATAATTATATGATTTATTTTTAAAGTATAAATTTTGAAGAAGTCTATGAATAAGATATAAAGTAGTCTTCAGATTACAGATTTTCTTTTTGTTCTCAAAACTGTTGAGTGCAGTAAGTACTTGTTAGATGCCTTCTATTTGCCTTTAAAAGTTTCTCAACCAAACTAAGGTGTAGAAAACCAGTTATTAAGTGATTTTGCACTTTCTTGGGTAACGTTTAATGAAATAGTTTTTGTGGCGTGTAGATATTTAATAAAATATAATACTAAAATTATCTGACTTATTTTTTAGCAGAAAAAATATATAACGTAAATGAAGTTTCAGTACCAGGTGACAACAGCTCAGTGTCTCTAGGTGGGCGGGCACTGTTGACCTTGTAGGTGGGACAGTTCTTCATAGGAAGAAATTGTCATCCCACTGCAGGATTCATTTAGCCCCCTGGCGCTTACCCACTAATGCCAGTCATTGTGACCACCCCTCCCTCAAATAAAAGTGCCCCCATGCTATTATTGATAGTTGAGAACCGTTGAATGATATTCACCAAAGTTTGCGGGTGTATTTGGAATGCCCTGCTGTAAAATAGGCCACACAGCATTAGAGGAACTCGGTTTGGAGAGTATTGCAACAAAGCACTTCAGAGAAAAGCTCCGGCACCGCACTGGTGGGCACTGCTCCCAGGCACGTGTGCAATTCTGGGTGTCTAGACCAGGGTGAGTGCCTGATAACTAATAAGTCTCCCCAGCAATCTCTGGATGCCCAGCTGGTACAAAATAAGTTGGAGTTTTGTAAAGTACAATATATTGTTGAGAAGGAAATGAATAGATCTACTTAATGTTGTCCAAATATTTTTTGTTTAGATAAACACCAAAAACAGAAAAAATCTAAAACATAGTTATGAAATATTGATTCAGTCCACATTTCAAGGACTACAATTTTCCTTTAAACTTAACATAGTGCGGTTATTTTTGGGTTTTGTTCATTGGTATGTGAACAAAACAGTATCTAGTATATTATAGACGTTCAATAAATATTTGTTAGATGAAAGAACCTCCACTTTTAGATTATCTTCTAGCATCTTATTAGTCGCTACTTAATTCCAACTATTTAGCTCTGAATTTATTTTGATCTAATGTATTTTTTAAAAGTTGAACCTATGAAGAATTTAAAATATATGGATTTAATAAGGAAACACTGACATTTTTGCACATTTAAGACTTTATTTTAGCTGCACGTATCTTTAACTATTTAGAATTCAGAAGCTAATGAATTTGATTCTTTCTAAATCACCCTAACATCAAGGTACTGATTTAATAATTTCCTATTTGTGTGTGTGCCTATTTGACCTAGGAATTTACTAGTTTAATTTTGTTCTAGATCCTATGAAAGACCACTAGGGGGAGCGCTTCCTCAGGCAGACCAGGCGCTTTGGTGACTACAAATTGGTTTCATATGTTGCATATAAAAGACTATAATCTTATTTTTAAGACCTTTAGTTTTGCCTTTTTGAAGTTTTCTCAGTTCCTTTTCAGTAAAATTATTCTTAGCATGAATGGGTAGGTAATCCCTTTTTCCATTTTTAATTTGTTTACCCCCTATTTGATGATCATGTGCTTTCACCTAGAATTGATGAAATGGTCCAAAATAATAAGAAATGATTTGTTAAATTCTACTTTTATAATAAAAATAAGTCTTGTAACACCATCATTTTCTAAGAAGCCACAGAGTGTCTGTGGTGTTGTCAAGCAGTCCTAGGAAGGGTTAGTTACTGCTGCTGAAAGGGCAGCATGTGTTCTCAACAGCTGAGGGTGGGGAGTTTTTCAGAATAACGTAGAGCCCCTCTCCCCTTCCCTGTCTTCACACTGCCAGCTCTGCCCCGCCTGAAACAAAAATCTGTTGAGTCCTGAGAAATTGGGGAAATTGTGTAGTATTTTTTCTTTTCCCAATTATGTGTTCGGTAGTGTTTTTATACGTGTGTCAGGTTACATGCACCCCAGCAGCAGTTGGCAGCTCCAACATGGATTTCCCACTCCGGGAGTGGACAGCTAGTGCTCTGATCAGAAAGCCCACAGGCAGCTGTTACAAGTGCTTCTGGGATCCATACCTTAGCCACTGCCAGAGGTTTTAATAATTGGCAGAGTAAATGTTTGAAGTAGGTTTTCCTTTTGAAATTAGTAGCTTGTCGATCAATATAGTAGATATTAGTAGTGTTTCTCATTGGTAAAACTAGAGGTATTCAGCATATATGTGCTAAATTATTTTATAGTAGTTCCCCACCCTTGCATGAAAATGATATAAGAATCTAGTGAGGCCTATAGTCTGTACCCTTAGGCCTGGTGTCTGAGGCTTGACCCCTAAATGATCTTGCTTCCTGCCATTGTGTCTAAGGATTTCTGTTTGCGTGTTGCTGGATTAGGACAATCCCATCCCTGGAATATTGTCAAGTTCACCTTAAGTGGACCTTCCATAGAAAGTGGCAGGTGAACTACCAAAACAGAAGAAGGGCTTCACTGAACTTACAGAACAGGTTGCATACATTTTTTTGCATGCTTGCTAATAAATGTTTATTAAAACCTGTATATGGGACAGTTTGATCTGGGCTTGATTTTTTTTTCCCCCCTAACTTGGTACTGAGATTGTAGGAAAATAGCAAACCCTCATTCACCTCAAAAATGTCAATGCCTGTTTGTTAGCTAATTAAAAATAATGTAAGAATTGTTTATGACAATATTGGCTCAGGTCCCTTAGAAACATCAAATGTTTGATTGGATTGGATTATCCAGATTGCTGGTTCCCAGCTATGAATTTAGAAAGTAGCTAGGTTCTCATCTACTGTTTTCCGAGTGAGAATGCAACTTTATATTAGGTGGTATTGTGCTGAACATTCTAATGTGGTTTCTTAAAATTTGGGGACTTTACAAAATAGTAAAATTTTAAAACTTTTAGGACCAACAGAGGTGCCAACTTATCTTGTCAGGTATGAGGCTGTTAAAACTATACCATTCATTATCACCACCATTTAACATCAAAATCTCAGAAAATGGATAGTTAGCAACTTTACACTGACAATAAAGAAAAATGAAATATTAAAAACAAATTTCAAATGCAAGAACAGGGTTACACCATAAAATTTTATTTTACAATGTTACACTTTATGCTGTTTTATCGATACAGGTTTGTCGGTTTGGAGATCTGCCAAATTTTACTGTTTAAAACAGTAAAATTTTAAAAATCTTAGTGCCACCCAAAATGGAGTCTGATTGGCCACTTCTTTCTAGTACTTTGTATTTATTACAGTCACTGTTAAATATCCATTTTCAACTGGATATATGAAAATAGAAGCAACTCTTCTAAGGCAACTTTAGTCAATTCAGCATATTCTGGCTAAGAACAGCAATCTCATCTCCAGACAGGGCTAAAATTAACAGTGACAGACTGGCTGACCAGTTAATAAGCACTGCAGAAAAGGTCAGTGGAATATAGCTACCTTCAGCCAGGGATGCAACGTGAGACCTTAGTCCTGAGTGCCAAGCCTAAAGCATTCTGGGAATTAGCTAAGGGATAGCGGCAGCTGCCAGGAGAAAGGCTACCAGTCTATGGACAAGCCATTGGATTAATTGATATATATGTACTTCTGCCACAGCAGAACACTACTCACTACTATACTGTGGGTACTGGTTGATTATTAGGTCTTACACATTGAGCAGGTGACTGAAAGGAAATAATTTCTTGAATAAAGAACAAAAATGTGGTTCTATAAGCACTGAGTGAGAGACGGAGATGTTGAAAAAGAGACATGGATCCCCAAGACATAAGGTCTTTGAGCTCCATTAAATGAGCTCAGGTAACTGAGAAGCAATGAAAAAGGAAAAATAAAAGTTTTTTATAGTGTAAACTCAAACAAATCTTATTTCTCTTTTGTCTCTGAATACACAAAGGAGAAAGAAATATAATTCAAGATTGCCAGTTTCTTTTCCTAGATATACATTTGTTCAGCTGCTAAGGATTTTTTTTTTTAACAAGCTTGCTGAGTATTCCTTTCCTAAAACAAGCCTTTGTAATCCAGTTTGGTGGGGGCAGCATAGTGGGATGGAAAGAGTATGATGATCTGTGATTCAGGAATTCTGCTTTATAATCACCAGACTGACCTTGAACAAATCAATCTCTCTTGTCCCTAGTTTCTTCATTTATAAGAATGAAAAAGCCCTTTCTGACCCTAACATGGTCTGACTTTAGTAAATCAGATCAGGGCAAATGTTTCAGAAGATCAAACATTTTCTCACAAAGCAGTTTTAGTGACCTCAAACAAGTTATGATTAAAAATACTTCCAAATAGTATATTCAAGTGTTCACCAATAAACTACTTAGGTATTGCAGAATTTTTTTAAAAAATCAGAACTGAAAAGAATGAAATTAGAGTTAGAAAAAGGGAAATGGAAGGTAATGGAGTTCCAGTAACAGAAGAAACTAACTTGAAGCATGAGTCTGAAAAAAAGATTTCTTCCCCCCAGGTTACAGATGAGGATCCTGGTTTCTAGTGGCCCTTGGGTATTTTACCTGTGATGCTGCTGCTAAGTGGACCTTTTTTCCCCAGAGTCTTTAGTTCTTCTGCTTTTGATCTACCACGGCTATGTGTTGATAAATATATTTTGTGGCCCAGAATTTTTGTCAACAAGTTTGGCTTTATTGTTGGCTATCTTGTATAGAGGTTTTCTCTTTAGTGATAACAGAAGACCTAGAGGAAAGGAGAAAACCATTTGTGCATTTTTCTTGGTTCTTGCCTTCTCTTCCTCCTTCCAGCACCAAATCACTGCCTTATTGAGCTAGAAGGCTGAACTCAGTCTGAGGCAACTGACCATTTCACCATGTGACCATACCACTGGAATGCTGACTCTCCTAATAGGCCTCCAAAATGGTACTAGTGTCTTGGGTTTTCTCCTTAAAGAGAGGGGAGCTCTTCCCTTGATTCAGATGGCAAGCCAAGGATATCTAAGATACTGGATTGCTTTTAATCACAGCTGAAAAAACTTACCTAATTGAGGGTCTTTTATATATAGTTCGTGATTTTTCAGGTGATTTTTTTCTCACGAGCACAGAGATTTAGAGGCCGTATTAGTGATAAAAAGAGGATCTGTCTTCCCCATTTCCAGCCATAAAGATTTCCAAACTCTGATTTCCTAATACTGGAGGAGTTGGGCTGGGGTTAGAAGTAATCTGGTCCAAAAGACTATGATCCAAAAACACAATTTCTAAGTGTTCTTCAGTCACCTCCTGTTTAGACATCCAGCCTGAAAAATGTGTGGTTTCCATAGCCCCTATTTGGCTGAAAAAAATATGTGTTCCACAGAAATATGAGATACAAAATTTTATGAGCAACTTGAGGGTTTTTTTATGTGCAAATCCCACTAAAGACTCTGATTCATTCTCTGTCTGCTGATGACTGTGTAAACTACAGAAAGCTATCTGGCACTTGAACTTCCTTCTCAGTAAACCAAGAGAGAGTGTGATTCCAAATTTGGAGAAGAAATAGGCACAAATTAAGTAATTGCCCGGGGATCTCATAAAATCAGAGGTGGGCGAAGATTTGAGAGGGATCTCTGCTGGGAGAGCAACTAGAAATCAGCTTCAGCCTCCTATTCTCCCACCACAAGGTGGCAGGGTTCCCTTTGCCTGAAATCCTCAGGTCACTGAAAGGACACTTGATTTCCATGGTGTATGCATTCTCTTCTTTGGATGTAAGTAACGGTGTCAGACTGCCTTGTCTATGAAATTATCTGTGTTTCCAGGGGCTGATAAGCTCTAGCTCACTTTTAAGATGTTAACCAGCAAAATGTTTTCCACACCAGCTTTGTGGGAGCTTTTCACAGTTACTAGCCCTTAATCTCCTTTTGCTTCCTGCACCAACGGTGTAACTAGAAGGTAATAAAGTGAAAGCCTAGGTTTCAGTAAAAATAAAAATAGCTGTTAGCTGTTATTTATCACATGATTACTATGGGGCCAGGCACCCCAATAACTGCTTTATATACATTATCTCATTCTCACAGCAACACTAAGAAATGGGTACTATTCTCATCCCCATTCTACAGGTGAGGAAACCAAGATTACACACAGCCAGAAAGTGGTGGTTCTAGGGTTTGAGCCCAGGCTTGTCTAAACTTCTATGAATCATAAAGAAAAATTAGTTCACAGGGATGAAGTTGAAGGATGTGTTGAAGTCATGTTTCTGTGATCAGACAAAATAGTTCATTGCTGAGATAGTCATTGTTCATAAAGACCTTACTGTATCCTGAAGTGAGGCCCAAATTCCTTACCAAACTACAAAAGCATTCCTGTACCCTCAGTTCCAGCATATGCTACCCTCCTTGCTTTAAATAAAGCCAAACCTTAGACAGTTTCTCTGCTTTGGTTTAAAGACAGTGTAAGGTTTTATTTGCCAAAATTTAAATCATTGGCCATTTCAAAAAGAATTCAAGTATATATAAATACAGTGGCTTTTTAAAAATTAATTTGTTCCCAACATGCCAATAGGGAAGTTTAGTATATTAAAAGTTCTGAGACATCCTTCAGGAAATGAACCTGTCTCACTGTATAACCCAGTTTGGTTTTTTCCTACACTGATTTCTGCCACAGAGCCTTTCTCCCTCCTCCATCCCTTGGAATCAGCATTCCTTGCAGTGCCCTTTAGGAAATGCTGTCTGGTACAACAGCCATAAGGAACTTACCATTCCTTCGATACCCTGCCCTCTGTCATGCCTGTATGCCTTTGCATATAGAGTTACTTCTTCCTGGAATGGCTTCTCTTCTCCATCTGGATGAACTGTTACTCGCCCTTCAAAAAACAGCTCAAATGTAACCCTCTCTATGAAGCCTTCTGGCTTTCTTAGATTCTCTCTCCTTTCTGCTCTCATTGCACTGAGACTTCTACTACAGAACTTATACCTCATGTTTTCATTATTTCTTCATGTTTGTCTTTTGCACTATTGTTGTTTCCTTAAGAGTAATGACCATGTTTTATTTATCTTCATTACCCCCTGCAGCTCTAACTGCATCTAGCGCTTAGTAGTGCTCACCAGATGTTTGTTGAAGGAATGGATGAAGATGGGGAAAATGAAGCTCAGAATGTTTAAGTGACTTAAGGTTACATAGCTATTTCATAGCAGAGTTGGGATTCATACACAAGGTGCCTTGCTCTTTTCATCAGGCCTAGATAGCAAATTCGTGGCAGAAGTTCAGCTATTCCCCCACCCATACCCCATGGCAGACAATACTAATAAATCAAGCTCCACCAGACCCAGACTTTTGCTCTGGAACTTCAAGCATAACTCTGGGAAACCACTAACAGAGTGGGCCCATGAGAGGAAATATATTTGCCCTCCTTGCCCTATTCCATGCTATACCCTCCTATCCATTTTTGTGGGCATAGCAAAGTCACTGTTGATTGTAGAGTTCCCTCACTGCTCTGCTAAAGACAAGGTACCCTGAGCTGACTCTTGGTGGCTCAGTAGCCTCTGTTCCCTTTCAGGGAGACCCTAAGGGAGGGAGCGAAAGGCTCCTAGCTTTCACTTCTCTGTCTGCCCCATTGCCTCCAGCTATTCCTAGAATCCTGATTTGGAAAAGCTGCTGCCCCTTGGCACCTGGGTGCTAGAGCAGATGGAGCTTCCCACCCATTCATACACCAAGGTTTGCCCAAATATTTTCCCCATTAATTTTGTAGAGGCAGTGTTGGAATATTTACTAACAAATGATAGGAATAGACTATGAATGCAGCAGCCTAGAAACAATCCACCTGATGGAGCAAGAATTTCATCACTAAAGTCTTGCCCAGGACTGGTTTGGCAAACAAAACTTACTGAGCATATCACCTATTCTCCTACTTGCTGCAGTTATCTCTGGAGATAAGCACCCCAAATCCTCCATTTTCACCCTACTTTTCTTTAGCTTTCCCTCCCCAGCCCCTCGGCCCAGAAGAGGCTGTTCTGTTTGTTCACATGACCAAAATGACAGTAGATCACTAATTAATGGGCTTTCAAGCACCCTCCTTCTTGCCCATCCTGTAAAGAAAAAGGATGCTTTTCTTTGCTCCTGGTGGCTTCTACAGCTCAAGACCCATAAAAGTTATACCAAAATAACTTTGTGGCATGCAGCTGTCCTAGAGACGTCTAACAAGGACAAAGGTGAAGTTGATGCTCCATACTGTCATACTTCCAGCAAGTTTGGATGACTAGCTAGAGCTGTAAAAATAGCTAATATTTATTGAACACTTACTATAGACTACCGTGCTAAGTGCTTTATGTGAATAATCTCATTTACTCTTCATTATGTTTCCATATTCTAGATACTATTCTAATCCTCATTGGAGAAAACTGAGGCTTAGGATAATTTGCCCAGTGATACATAGAAAGTGGCAGAGTCCGGATTCAAACACAGATTTGTCTGACTCTCAAGTCAATGACCTTGATGACTATATTCTTCTAACAATTAGAACTGTCCAGTAATGGAAGGGGCCACTTGGACAGGTAATCAGTGAGTTCCTGGTTTGGGGAGGTGTTTCATCAGATACTGCACAAAGAGGAATCTCAAAAATCTGCTCCACCAATACAGCTCGCTGTAATGTCAGTGATGATTTTCAATTTGCCAATATAATGGCTTCTTATTAATCATCCTCTTCACATCATCACCAGCATTTCTACTTAGCACGTACTGTGTCAGGCATCTTCTGAGTAGTTTTACTTACATTAACTCATTTACTCACAACAACCTTGTGAAGTAGGTATTATTATTATCTCCATTTTATAGATGAGGAAACTGAGAAGTAAAGTGACTTTTTCAATGTCACGTAGTTAACAACAGAGTTGGGATTATAATCCAGGCATCTGGCTCTAATTCATTCTCTTAACAATACATTGTATTGTCTCTTGATATTTGATACATATGCCCTACTCTTTTTTAAAAATTTATCATTTTTATTATCACAGATATATAGGCATACCTCAGAGATATTGTGGGTTTGGTTCCGGACCACCACCATAAAGCAAATTTCGCAATAAAGCAAGTCACACAAATGTTTTGGTTTCCCAGTGCACATAAAAGTTATGTTTCCACTATACTATAGTCTATTAAGTGTGCCATAGCATTATGTCTGCAAAAACAATGTACATACCTTAATTAAAAAATACTTTATTGCTAAAAAATGCACACCATCATCTGAACCTTAAATGAGTAGTAATCTTTTTGCTGGTGGAGAGTCTTGTAAAAAACTCAATATCTGCAAGGTGCAATAAAGCAAAGCGTAATAAAACAAGGTATGCCTGTAATATATATTTGTTGTTTAAAAAAAGTCATATAACACAGAAAAATATAAAAGTTGAAAGTCCTCCATAGTCATAGTCCCATGTCTCACAGGTAACTACTGTTAGCTTCACTAACTACGTATTTACATATATTTATGGGTTATACTATTTTTAATGCTCACTAATACGTACTTTTTCCTGTTTTTACCCCTAACAATCAATGTATCTGTGATATTTTCCTGTGACTCTTCAAAGCTCTACTTTATGCTTTTGAATTACTATATTATATGGTCCTAAACATGGACTAGTGCTTCTCATGGTGGACATTTAAATTTTTTCTACTCTTCTTATTATAAACAAATCTTTAAGTAGATTTGAAGATTTTGCTATTATAAACACACACAGGTATATATATATATTTGTGTGTGTGCATTTGTGCAAGTATTTCAAAAGACAGATCCCTAGAAGTGCTATTTCAGAGTCAAAGGATACATGCATTTAAACATTCTATTAACTTTTGCCAAAATGTCCCACCAAAAAGTTTGTATCAACAAATAGTACCATCAATAGAGTACTGAGAGGGCTGATCTCCCCACACCTTTGACAGAACTGGGTTTGTATTACCTGTATTTTTCATTACCACAAATATGATAGGTTAAAAATGGTATTTCATGTTTTGAATTTGTTGATTTCTGTGTAAGATTGGAAATCCTCTTTTGTGTTTATTGGCCATTTGCATTTCTTCGTCTTTGAACTGCCCCTTTGTGTCTTTTATGATAGTGATATTGACCACTCCTGCTCTGCAACTGTCTCCTCCTATGAGTTCCTTTCTATTCTTTCCTGACTCTCCTAATTCTCTAAAGACTCTTTGAGTCTCCTTCCCAGTTCCTCCTGCATGACCCCTAGATAATACAATAATAATTACAATAATTAACATCTCACAGAAGCTTACTGTGTGCCATATGTTAAGTAAAGCACTTAAAATAGAGTGCTCTTATTATTCACATTATTTTTAGATGAAGAAAGGAAAACTTAGGAAGTCTCACTTTATGTGAGAAAGCTCAAATTTGAGCCCCATCTGTTTTGATTTCAAATCACCACACATATTCTCTCTGAAATAAGTATGTGTTCCCCAAACTTCTTTTCTAAGCCTTTTCATTTCACATATACATATTCCATAGGTTTCTTATCCATTCCCTTAACTTCAGAATTTATCTCCTTTAGCTTCTGGTCCGTACCTATTAGTCTTTTAGAAATTACCAAGTGGATGTATTGTGCGTACCTCAAACTTAACACATCCCAAATGGAAATCATTATCTTCCTCAGACCTCCTAGACATCCTCTGAGATGATCTCCTCTTGCCAATACTATTTCATTTAATAGCATTGCCATTCACCCAGTTGCCCAAGTTAGAAACTTCAAAACCACCTTTGACTCTTGCCTCCGTTGTACCTCACATCTAATTGGTGCCAGGGTCTTGTCACTACAGACTCCAAATTGTTTCTCAACCCATCCTCTCCACATGCCTTCTACTATGGCTTTAGATAATTCAGGCTCTCAACATCTTTCCCTTGGACTCTTGTTATCTGCCTCCTAACTGGTCTCCCTATTTCTAATATCTCCCTAAGTCCCGTCTATCCTTCCCATTGCTGTCAAGAGTTAATATTTTAAAGCCAATAATCATATCACTTCCTGCTCAAAATTCTTTGATAGTTGCCTTCTGTCTACTGAATAAATTCTAAACTCCTTAGCACATAAAACAATCCATAATCTGGCCCCAATTTATCTTTCCAAACTTGTCTCCAGCATGTTCCAACTTATGTTCCTTAAACTACAACCACAAGGCTACTTGCTTTTCCTCAGAAATATCAAGTATCTCCATGCCTCTGTGCTTTTGTTCATGCTACTTGAAACACCCTTCTCTGGCTTCTTTTCTATCCGCTGATATTTTACTTTTCTTTGAAAACCCAGCACCCTACCCCCAACATGCACACATTTCCACCCACATTTCCAGCCTCACAGGTTATTACTTGTCCTCTTTGTTACATTTCCATTAGAGCTTTACTACAGACCAACTTGTCATCTGCTCGTGTGTGTCTGTTTTCCTGAGAGGACTAAATCTTATATTAGTATTTCTGGTCATTAGAAGCAGCTTGATGTGTAAAGGATTAAAACTGAAGTACATTTGTGATTTAGGTAAAAGTTGGACTAAACAACCTTGAAGTTTACTTCCAAATCTGAGATTTTCTGTGCCTTTTCTATACACTAAAATCTTATTTGAGGCCCTTGCAACTGTCATTTAACCTTGGAATTAACTCCTATTTCAAGGGGCCAGTTCTGCTTTCACTTCTTTGCAGGGGCTTCAAAAGCCAAGAATTTGGGCTCCTGGCAATGCAAGTCCAGTGAGTGTTGTCATTGGGTTTCCGGAGGAGGTGGGTTAAAAAGCACAGAGCACACTGGAAAATGAGCAGAGTTCCAGGACATCTGGGATTGATTATTCCAGCGAGATGCTCGAGCAAAGAGAACAATTCTCGTCCTGGGTTTTTTTCACATCTGGGCTTTGGCAGCTACTCCGATAGCTTTGCTCAGCAGTTCTTGAGGAATGAGATACGGGCTGGTTTCAGGGAAAGAAAAACCTTTATTGACTCAACTTCTGCTACAGCAAAGTCCTTCGAAAGACGCCTTTTTCCCCTTATATGGACTTGCTTGGTAGGTCCAGGTCTCATTGTCATTTACAGAGAGAAGAGTTAGTCTCCAAGCACCTAAAGAAACTCATACCACCTGGGGTCTGAATCAGGTTATACCAATGCCTCCTAATTTCTCCTCCTGTGATTCTTTTCAAATCATGGACAAGGAACAGTAAAAGACTGGAAGGAAGAGCAACCTCAGGCTACTGAGGAAATAGATTCACGCCAGCTGTTCTGAAGTTTCTCTTTTTAAATACAAGCTGAGTAGAGCTTTAGCTCCAATTTTAAAGGAAGCATCGTGCATTTTTTTCTCTGAAATTACATGCTTTGTTCTTTTAGTTTCATTATTATTACCTTGAAAGCACAAAATGTACTTTAGATATGTTCAGAGATTCAGATTCTCAAACATACGGTAATACTGCTGAATAATTATCCCTGATTTCAAATATTCTCATCTGCTGCCCTGGAAGCAAAAGGCAGGGTACTGCAGAGAAGGAGGGGAGGGGTGTCTTGCTGACATTTATTGAACACATACTCTGCCAGGCACTGTCCTATGTGTGTTATATACATTATTTTATTTAAAACTCACAACAGCTCTATGTGGTATACTATTATCTGCATTTTAGTGATGGAGAAACCAAGGCTGAAGGAGGTTAAGTGATTTGCCCAAGGTCACATAGTGGTAGAAGCAGGTTAAGATGATAGGGTTGACTCCAGTAATGTATATTCTTTATCCGTTACTCTTAATATTAAATAATAGTTGGAGTGATATACAGAAGCTTCTTATTTAACATTCTGACCTATTATCTCCAGCATCTCAGAAAGGTGATTATTATTATTTTTATTATTATGCCAACATTCATTGAGTGTTTAGGACCTGCCAGGCCCCGATCTAAGTGCTATATTATATATGATCTTACTAATTCTCAGAAAACCCACTTTTGAGGAAGGTACTATTATTTTATTGATGAATAAATAGAGACTGAGAGAGGTTAAGTAACTTCACCTAGGTCAGAGAGCCGAGTGTTGGAGCCTGAGTTTTAAATCTAGATAGTCTGCCTTCAGAATGCAAGCTACATTGCCTACAGAGAGCACATTCTGGAGTTAGAGAGACCTAGGTTCAAATCCCAACTCTGCCTCTTCCTGGGTAAATTAACTTGAATATATCAGTCCTCAGTTTCCCCATATGTAAAATGAGGCTCTGGAAACTTACCTGCTGATCTTACTACATCTACCCAGCTAGGTGATTTTAAACAAGACACTCAAACTTTGAGTATCAGTTTCATCACTTGAACTTGGGAGATAAAAATACTTACCTAATAGGGTTATTTATGGATCAAAAACAGTATTTGTATTTTACAGTGCCAGGGAATTAGAATGAGTTGTACATTGTAGTTATTATTAATATTGTTATGGTTATTGATTAAGAGAATATACTTTTGTATACACTAGCAGGCAGGAGGCGAAGTTCCCCATATACCCTTCTAACACGGTCATTACTGAGAGAGGCTAGAGAACCTCCTCTCCTGGATAATGATAGAGCAGGCGACAGTCTTCTGTTGGGCCTACTTCAGGTGTGGCTCTGCGGGGGGTGGGGATAGGATGGGCTGAATGTATTCTCTATGCTCATCTTGTCCCCCACTTGTCCAGCCTGGCGAGAAAGGTACTGTTTGTGAGCCACCTCCAGGGAACTGCAATCACAGTCCTAACTCTCACCCCATCATGATGTCCCTCTCTGTCAGAGGGCGCTAGGGGAAGAGCACATGGCCTTTAGAGTCACACTTGCTTGGGTCCAAACCTCCAAGACTAAGTGAATTTAGGCAAGTTCCCTTACAGAACATTGGGCTCCCTTCTGTCATATAAGAGCTATCTTATTGAGTATTTGTGAGGATTAAACACTTTAAGAATAGGACCTAGCTCAGTTTTAGGGATTTAGTATACACTCAACAAATTTTAATTCTCTTCTTTTTTAGAAGAGTATAGTTCAAGGTCAACATCATTCTGAGATGAACAAAGAGCAAGGATAAAGAAGGGGGCAAGTCTGCACAAAACACTCTCTTTGGCTTAAATTCTAAACATTTAAACAAAGAATCTGAAGAGGCTCTTTTATTACTAACTTTGGAGTCAACTGTATCCCAAAAAAACTTGCCTCATGTTTAGGAACCTAGCTTTTATATATTCAGTAAGAAAAATAAGTTTAATGTATTCATTTACTTTGTATAAATCCATATTGTAGCTATCACAGGCTGTTAGCTGAGACACTGTCTTGTATGATTTGGTTATAATGCTCAGCATGGAAAGAAATATTATAAATATTAAATATTATTGAAGCAGACCCCTATAATATTGGGTTCTGAGACACTACTAGAAATCGACTAGTTACCTCCCATATAGGATTTGGCCAAATCATAGTACAGGTTGGCATTTTGCCTTACTAGCAAGAATAACAGAGGTGAAGCACCCCTAATTGAATGAATCTGGGAGAGGCCATGCTATCCACATATCCACACTGATGACCTGGTTGATGGTCAGGGCCAGAACTCACCTCTGCAATAGAGTAAGGAGGTTTTTTGTGTCTCTGCTTCTACTGTGCTCACTTCCATATAAAAGGATTTGAATCATCAGACACTGTAGGAGAGTTGAGAAACATAACAGGTTAATGAGAATCAGGTAGTAAGCACCTTAATTATAAACCAGACTCAGGAGAGCACCAATGGAACTGAGACATCACAAGTTTACATTTTAAATGCCTGAACTACATTTCTTCCTGGTTCCCTACCAAGGAGGAAAAGGAGTCTGAAGTGAAGGCTCTGTACCCTTCATGCTGTATGTGTATCATCCCACTTCACTGCACCTACCACTGCCCCATGGCTATGGATAACCAAAGTAACTGGGCCGAAAGCTGACAGCATCCCTATTTAAAACATGGTGCCATAGTGGTTTCCATCAGGACTTTCTAAATAGGTGTAACCAAATGGATGGATAGAAATGAAATCTGTATATGTGTCCCAAATTTGCATTGCATTCTCATGCTACATCACTTTATTAGGCAGTTTTCCATTTAAAATTTTGTTGCTGACCTCTCTCTCCAATCAAGATGGAATTATAGGGACCAGATTTACCCTCCCACCTGAAACAACCGAAAAAAGAAAAAGTAGACCAAATATATGAAATGATCTTCCAGACACTGAAGCTCAGGCAACAAAGGACCATGATCCCTGAGAAAGGAAAAACAAGTGAGATAAACCCTACAATTGCCCCAGAGTTACTGCTTTGAGAGCATTTCTAGGCCATGATATAGGGAAGGGGACAAAGTGGAGCTCAGCAGACTCCCTGAATTAAGAATATGGAGCTGAGGAGACTCTCAGGGCAGAGTAACAGGAGACAGCTGCACAGAAAAAGTACAGGAATATCTTCAGTGCATCCCCTTCAGATATTCAGCAGAGTATTGATTAACACATGTGGGAAAACTGCTCAAGGCTGGGGAAAGAATTATCTGAAAGATGGAGGGAACAATGCCTGGCCTTTATACAGGGCCAGGTGTAGTGCTTATTTCCACCAGCCAAACTGGAAAGCCTCATTGTTCATTCATGGAGCTTCAGGTGGGTTCCTCAAAAGGTTTTTGCCTCAGTAATGGGTGATAATTAGCCCTTGACTAAATGCTGCTCTAGTTCCATCTAACAAATCTTAAAAGCAAGACCTAAAAGGACCAAACTGTAATTTAACTGAGTTCCAGAACAAAGTTCAAGAATACTTATAGGAATACAAAATATTCAACACCCAACAAGGTGTCCAAAGATTACAAAGCATGAAAAGAAGCAGAAAAGTGTGATCCATAATGAGAAAAATCAATCAAAACCAATCCAGAACTGACACAGATGTTAGAATTAGCAGAGAACTATATTAAAACTGTTATTGTAACTTTATTCCATGTGTTAAAAAAGTTAAGTGGGGACATGGAAAATATATTTTTTAAAAAGACCCAAATCAAACTTCTGGAGATGAAAATCACAATCTGATAGGAAGAACACACTGAATGAGATTAACAGCAGGTTTGGCATTGAAGAAGAAAAAATGAATGAACTTGAAGACACAGTAATAGGAACTATCCATAAAGAAAAATCACAGATTATTTCAACAGGTACAGAAAAATAATTTTATAATATCAAACATCCAATTTTACAAAATCCAACATCCAATACTGATAAAAGAAAGAAATAAACAAAAACTCTCAGAAAACCAGTAGAAGGGAACTTTCTCAACCTGATAAAGAATATCTATGAAAAATCCACAGCTAACATCAAACCTAATTATAAAAGACTAAATTCTTTTCCCCTGAAATCAGGAATTACACAAGGATGCCTGTTCTCATCACTTCTATTCAACATTGTACTAGATGTTCTAGCCAGTGCAATAAGGCAAGAAAAAGAAATAAAAGGTATTGAAATCGGAATGAAAGAAGTAAAACTGTTTATTCACAGATGACATGATCATCTATGTAGAAAATATGGTGGAATCTACAAAACAGCCACTAGAACTAACAAATGAGTTTAGCGAGGTCATGAGATACAAGATTATTATATTAAAAAATCAAGTTGTGGGGCTGGCCTGGTGGCGTAGTGGTTAAGTTTGTGCGCTCCGCTTTGGTAGCCTGGGGTTCGCCGGTTTGGCTCCAGGGTACAGACCGATGCACCACTTGTCAAGCCATGCTGTGGTGGCATCCCATATAAAGTAGAGGAAGATAGGCCTGGATGTTAGCCCAGGGCCAGTCTTCCTCAGTAAAAAGAGGAGGATTGGCAACCGATGTTAGCTCAGGGCTAATCTTCCTCACACACACACACAAAAAAATCAAGTTGTATTACTGTATACTAGCAACAATCAATCAGAAATTGAAAGTCAAAAATAATACATTCAAGATAGCATTAAAATATGAAATACTTAAGGATAAATCTAAGAAAAGATGCACAAGATCTGTACATTGAAAACTACAAAATATTACTGGGAGAAATTAAAGAAGATCTACACAAATGGAGTGACACAATGTGTTCATGAGTGAAGACGCAATATTGTTAAGATGTCAGTTCTCCCCAAACTAATCTATACATTCAATCTAATCTCAATCAAAATCCCAGCAAGGTTTTGTGTATAAGTTGATATGATGATTCTAAAATTCCTATGGAAATGCAAAGAACCTAGAATACTCAGAACAGCTTTGAAAAAGAACAAAGTCAAAGAACTAACAATACCTCATTTCAAGACTTGTTTTAAAGCTACAGTAGTCAAGACAGCATGGTATTGGCATAAAGAGAGACAAACAGAAGAGAGTCTAGAAATAAACCAACATACACCCACAAACAAAACTGATTTTTGACAAAGGCACAAAGATAATTCAGTAGAAAAAGGAATGTTTTTTCAATAAAAATGGTTCTGGAACAACTGGACACCCATATGCAAAAACAATCAACTAGGATCCATTCCTCATACCATATAGGAAAATTGATTCAAATGGATCATAGACCTAAATGTTAAACCTAAAATTATGAAAAATCCAGAAGAAAACATAGGAGAAAAATCTTTGTAACTTGGGTTAGGCAAAGATTTCTAAGATACAACACCAAAAGTGCAATCCATAAAAGAACAAATTGATAAACTGGACTTAATTAAATTCTAAAACTTCTGCTCTTCAAAAAAGACTGTTGAGAAAATGCAAAGACAAATTACAGACTGAGAGAAATCATTTATATATTTGCAAATATAAAAAATATATTTGCACATCATATATCTCATAAAGAACTTGTATCTAGAATATATAAAGAACTTTTAAAAGTCAGTCATAAGAAAACAAACAACTAATAAAAAACGGGCATGCAATTTAGACAGACGCTTCACCAAAGAAAATACAGAGATGAAAAATAAGTACATGAAAAGACATTCAAGGAAAACACAAATTAAAACCACAATGAGATACCACTAGAAACCTATTAGGATGGCTAAAATGAAAAACACTGCCCACACTAAATATTGGTGAAGAAGTTGAGGAACTGGAATTCTCATGTCGTGCTGGTGGGATTCTATAACATAATACAACTATTTTGGAAAACTTTGGGAGTTTCTTATAAAGGTAAACATAACCTATCATATGGTTCAGCCATTTCTTTTTTTTTTTTTTGTGAGGAAGATCAGCCCTGAGCTAACATCCATGCTAATCCTCCTCTTTTTGCTGAGGAAGACCAGCTCTGAGCTAAC